AGGCAGTTGGGGTTAAGTGACTTGCTCAGAGTCACACAGCTAGTGTTATGTGTCTGAGGCTGGATTTGAACTCAGGTCCTCCTTACTCCAGGGCCAGTGCTCTATTCACTGCAACACCTAGCTGCCCCAACCCTAGGTCTTCTGACATCCATCATAATTCTTTCTGCTGTACCATCACGATTAAACAAATAAAATGGGCAGTATTCTGTCACATCTTCAAATTCAATAGAATTTCGTATTCTACAATTACATTCATCAAAGGTGATTTCAGAGGGCACATGTGATTGAAATTTATTTGTCCAGTCCAACACAAAAACTGAGGAAATCAAACTAGTTTCTCTCAATCTTTGCATAATTGTTTACATCACCATCATTCTAATTTTGAGGAAAAATTTAAAGTAGTCATCAATACAAATTTCAGAAAAATGAGTCTAGGACATGCATATTGTGTGGGAATAAATGGACTATAACTGAATCACATTTGGTCCTGAACAACTTGTTGGGAATAAAATCACGATCCAGCTATTTGGCAGGACATTGAAATGATGAACATGGATTCATCAGTTCTAGCATTCTGTGCATCTGCAACTGCCACCATGATGATTGACAACAGATATGACTGACTCTAAACATGTTAGAGGGGCTTCAATGAGCTGACTCATTTAATGTGGAGAACTGTAGTGGGACCAGGATGATGCATGCTTATAGAGAACGCTATTTAAAAAAGACCCATTGTCAGAAATGATAGCAGAGTACTGTGTTATGAGTAACTGGGGCCGATCTTTGATCTCTGATGCAAAGTCTGAGATGGAATTAGGAGCACAGTGAGACATTCTGAGAAGTACTTTCTCTGGAATTGTCCTCTAAAATCAAGATAGAGTTATCTTGACCAAGGATTCTTGGTCACTCTCCATGGTGTTTTTAGCAGGTTATTAAATCAAGTAGTCTGGCTTGGACTATACTCCCTTGCAACCATATGTGTGTGAGAATCAGTTTCAAGCTATTTGACCGGGCTTCCTGTCCAGACAATTTTTGAATTGCTGTACTGTATTTAATGTGATCTATTTAAAGTGACAAGTACTTTTGCCCAAGAAGGCATTCCTCCATGACAGGCAACTCATGTAGACAGAATGTAAATACCTTGAATTAGGTATTTTTCTTAGGAATTTTCTTGGATTTCTAGTCAATTCTTCTACCCAAGCCAATATAGGATTCCACCTAGTAAGTGTGGAAGTTTAATGATCTGAAGAAGTAGGATTTAGGAATGTCTATCACATCAAAACCTGTGGAGCTGACACAATATATTTTGGAACCTGGAAAGTCAGATAGGTCTAGAAATCAGTAAATAAAATTTCTCTTTTAGGTCTGTAGACCATCAGTAGTCATAAACATTAAGCAAAAAACTCTGGTGCTGGATATATAGTGACATAAAAGATTAGAGTCTCACCCTTAGAAGAATCCCATTAGAAGCTTATGATCAGTCTGAATTATTTCCCAAAGTATAGAAAAAACTGGGAGATTTGAATGTTGAGTTGCTGTCATTAATGTTTGATACATTTCAGAGAATAGGAGAGTTGCCACAGAAAGTGTGGCATAATTCAAAGGGTGTTAACTTGGAAGAAAAAACCCCGGTGTCAAGTTCAGTCCCTGCTACTTACTACATGTATTTAATATATCCTACTTACATAAGTGACTATCCATGCCTTCATCTGTAAAATGAAGAGTTTAGATTAGATAATCTCTAAACTCGATTCAGATCTAAATCCTAGTATTAAAGAGATCAAATGTTTCAATTTTCAAAAAAGGGAAGGGATTAAGGTTTATAAACTGTGGACTTCAAGGGAGATGGTTGAGGATGAGGTCGTGTATCAGCTTGGTTCCACTTGGTTATCCCAAAATAACAAAAATTCAACAAAGTAAAAGAGCAATAACAAAAAACAAATGAGTTCACAAAGGAAAAAAGCAGGAGCAGTATTTCAAAGTTGAAAATAGGCAAATTTAAGCTTAATGTAAGGACAATAGTTATACAAACATATGATGAGTTGCCTAAAAAGGTAATAGGCCTCCCACTAGGCAGCTAGGTGGTATAGTGAATAAGGAGAATCTTAATTCAAATTCATCTGCAGTCTTTTCCCAATTGATAAATTAACAAAGGATACGAACAGGCAGTTTCAGAAGAAGAAATCAAAGCTACCTATAGTCATATGAAAAAATGCAAATTAAAATAACTCTGAGGTATCACTTCGTACCTATCAGATTAGCTAATATGACAGAAAAGGAAAATGATAAATGTTGGAGGGGAGGTGGAAAAATTGGGATACTAATGTACTGTTGCTAGAATTGTAAACTGAGCCAACCATTCAGGCAAGCAATTGGAACTATGCCTGAAGGGCTAGTCTGTATCCAAGGGGAGAGAGAGAGAGAGAGAGAGAGAGAGAGAGAGAGAGAGAGAAGAGAGAGAGAAGAGAGAGAGAGAAGAGAGAGAGAGAAGAAGAAAAAGGAGGAGAAGAAGAAGCAGCAGCAGCAGCATTTTTTCATGTGACTATAGATGGGTTTAATTTCTTCATCTGAAAACTGCCTGTTAATATCCTTTGACCACTTATCAATTGAGGAATGACTTGTATTCTTATAAATTTGACTTAGTTATCTATATATTTTAGAAATGAGGCCTTTATCAGAGACACTGATTGTAAAAATTCTTTCCCAGATTTCTGCTTCCCTCCTAATACTGGTTGCGTTGGCTTTGTTTGTGCAAAAACTTCAATTTAATGTAATTGAAATTATCCATTTTTGCATTCATAATGTTCTCTATCTCTTGTTTGGTCATAAATTCTTCCTTTCTTCATAAATCGGACAAGTAAACTATTCCTTGCTTTCCTAGTTTGCTTATAGTATCAGCCTTCATATCTAAATTACGTACCCATTTTGACTTTATCTTGGTGTATGGTGTAAGATGTTGGTCTATGCCTAGTTTCTGCCATACTGTTTCCAATTTTCCCAGCAGTTTTTATCAAATAGTGAGTTCTTATCCCAGAAACTGGAGTCTTTGTGTTTATCAAACCAATGGATTACTATAGTCACTGACTACTGAGTCTTGTATACCTGACCTATTCCACCGATCCACCATTCTATTTCTTAGCCAGTACCAAGTATAAAACTGCAATTTCTAAATTTAATTTCTGACAAATGAAGTACAGCCCTGATAAGCTCTAGAGAAATTTTGTTGAGTGTTGTCAGGAAACCTGAGCCCTCATCCACTGTATTTTTTCAATAGAATGGGGAATGGGGGTTTGGCATAATGCCATAGTACATTAGAACTGGAAGTGATCTTAGAGATTATTTCCTTCAGTTCCCTCATTTCAAAAAGAGTAAAAATGGGACCTAGAAATTTTTTTAAAAAAAGACTTGTCCAAGGTTATGGGGCCAGTTAGTAGTAGAGCTGGGACTAAAACCCAGGTCTTCTGAATCTCACTTCAAATACACTTTTGCTTTTGAAAATTATATTCATTGCAAAAATATCTTGCCAGCAACCAAGCTGTGATTATGAAAATCTGAGCTTGTTGTGAAGGTCATTTCCGTTCTCAATACTACTGAGGGTTCTGGGATTATGGTCATGACAACAGTGACAATGAGAACATCTCATCACAGTATTGTAATTAATGATCAAAAAGCACTTTCCACACACCCTCCCAAGAGCTCTGTGAGGTAGGAAGTAGAAGTCTTAGAGCTGTTTTCCAGATGAAAAAATTGAGACACAGATTAAATGACTTGTCAGAGGTCATACAGCCCACATTTATATAAATAAGGCTTTAAGGTTTACACATTTCTCTTTACAACAATCCTATGAGGTAGTCATGATAGTATTATTAGCCTCCTTTAATAGATAAGAAAATAATAATCAGAGAAGTTAAGTGACTTTGCCAGAGCGCCTAACGACACAGAGCTGGAGTCAGGATTTTGATTCAGAATTCTTGATTCCAACTCTACCATCCTTTTTAGTATGTCTTGTTAGTTGTTAGTAAATGGAAGCAGTAAAGTCTGGATTCAAACCTACATCTCTCTCCCTCCCCACTGTGTGTCAAATGGGAAAAGAATTAGTAAATGGAAGTGACTGTGGTGACTATCTCCAAGTTCAGTGCTATTTCTTTTGCTCCTGTGTGTTTGTTCTTTCCTGAGCTTAGGTGAATGAGTGTTAGAGACAGATCAGACCAGGTTTGAAAGGTTAAAATAGTCCTCAGAGTTTCAGCAACTGGACTCCATAACAGGATTTGTAGTAGCAGTAGTAATAAAATCCAGAAAGTAGCCAGATCTGAGGAGTGTCTGGCTTGACCCAGCCCAATAAGGAACAGCAGCTAAGATATTCTACCTTGGAAATGAGGTAATCCTTGCCAGTAGAATCCCACATTGTCGAGGAGAATGTTTTGTAACCAATACTTTAAGTTTGAGGCCATTCCCCTAAAAAAGCACTATAATAGAAGATTAATTGGACACCTATTTTATACCAATCAGTAGTAATTAGTTTGATATGATTGCATAGGGGTAGTGATTATAAGTTCTGTATATTAGGCCCCAGAGCTATGAATTGCAGATTGTAAGTTCGCTTCCTTAATCATAGAAAACTAATGAAAGGACCTCCACCTTTGTCTTTGTCTTGTTACGGTAACCAAGCCCAGAGTTGCAGAGGTGACTCAATGACATGGAAGATCCCCAAGCTATTTTTGTTGCCCATCCATCCCTTGCTATCCTTCAATTGCCCAACATGGGGAGATGGTTATGAGCGTTTGGCCAAAAAGTGAGTCTATTTGCCATCCTGACACCTGTTTTTCTACCAGCCCATTGGCACACATAAATGTTTTGACTTCTGCTTATCAGCCCAGCCCATGGGTCTGCTCATCTGCTTAGTAGAACCTCCTGAAAGGTCAAAATAGGTCTGTCAAATTCTGCTCATGAGCTTGTTTGTCAGCCAATGGGATTCTGAATTTTGTGTAGACCCTCCTGAAGAATCAGGGTTGAGAACTACCAGCCAGTGAAGCTCTGTATTTCATTCTGCCTCTTCTGTATCATATAAAACTAAGGCCCCAGAGGAAGGGGGCATCTCAGATCATGAGGGAGATCTGAGGTCTTCTTCATTAGAGGGGGCCATGGACTGTTTAATGAATTGACATTGGTTTGGAGCTCTGCCTCAGTGGTTTTTCTTGAAGATTGGACAATTGTGTACTTACAGTCTGTGTGCAGGGTGGAGAGTGGGCTCCCAGTTTGGGAGGTATTTTTACTTTCTTGCTACCTCTTCTTAGTAAAAATCCCTTTATAAAAACTAATTCATATTAATTTATAAATCAGTAATAGAATAACTGGTCAAATGATTTTTTGGGGAATATATGGGTAGGGAGGTCATTAGACACTAATATAATATACTTCTTAACCCCCCTCATGGTTACCTGTAGTTATTTCTAGGGGGAGAAGTAGTGATCTCTGGATCTACTCTCCCAGCTCTCACTTGAATAAATAATCAGGTTAGGCACCTAAAGGCTACTGCTGCAGTCAAATGTTTGAAAAATGATGGTGGTAGTAGTGAATTTATAGTGAGTCAAACACACTCTTAATAGGTACCAGAAAGACAGATGGTTTTCTACTTGCTACAACAAGGAAGTGTTGGGGTAGGATTAGGTTCTTATAATTTTGATTCAAGTTAGTAACTGGATTTGCAGCTAGGTGGCACAATGGATAAGCCCTGACCCTGGAGTCAGGAGGACCTGAGTTCAAATCCAGTCTCAGACATTTAACACTCACTAGCTGTGTGACTCTGGGCAAGTCACTTAACCCCATTGCCTAGCAAAAAACAAACCAAAAAAAGCAAACTTTTCTCCACCCCAACTTTCTCATGTTTTTCAGAAGAACTTCTGTTCTCCATATTTTGGAGCTTTTAAATGAAATGCATGTGTGTATTCTTTTTGGGGGCATACAGCAGTAGAGTCTTTGGCTGGGCAAGGAAGGGAAAGCCTGGTAATAAACCACACAAGAAATCGTGTAGGTCAAGATGACCCACTAGTACAACTGAGCATTCTACTGCTGGCAGGGAAACAGTTTGGTCAGAAAATAAGGATAATACATAGAGTATTACAATTAATCTAGAAAGTGTAAGAAAAAAAGCTTTTCAAATGTCCCACATTGTTCTGAAGATAAATTATTATTTTCTGCCAAGCCTGGATTATATAAATCTGAATATAGTCTCTGTGCATACTATGAAACATTGTGGAAGAAAATTAATGAGAAAAGAGAACAGTGATAAAAACATGAATAAAGTATTTTTATTTTTTTAATATAAAAAATATTTTCATGTAATTTTGTATGAGCATTTTGGGTGCTTTGTTTTAGTACATGCCTCAATTTTGTTTCTTCTTTCCTCATTTTGCATTTTTAGCCTAAGTTCAGAAAATCTCTATTCTTGCCATGACTGTAATAAGAACAGGATGATAATATAAGAGCTGGGAGGTACTTTAAAAAACATCTAATGCAATATCCTCATTTTGCAGATTAGGAAACTGAGGTTCAATGAATGGAGACGTGTTGAGCACAACTAGTTCACTCGGCTACAGAGCCTACCTAGGACCTAGGATTTACCAATCACCTGAAGAATCAAGACCATCTTTCACTCTGAGCACGCACTGCTGAGGCGGGAGAGAAGACGGCAGCAACTCTGTTTATTTTTAGCAAGGCACTTACTTATATAGTAAAATAACAGGAACTCTTTCTCAAGTTACAATGACGTATAGCCCATGCTGTGCTCAAGGACAGTGCATGCACAGTCCGTGCACTTACCTACCACCAATCACAAATACACTGTTAATGACTAATGAGTAACTAGGGAAGTTAGAGATGCATAGGACGGAGCAGGGAACCAGGCAATCTGTACACGGACCAGCACCCGAGAGGGGCCTCAGCCCTTCAGTGAGATCTCGTGAACTGTCTGCGGCCCTCTACATCCTTACAGATCCCTAACAGAGACGTCTTATTCAAGGTAACATGGGCAATAAATCTTATAAAAATGAGGTAACCCACGTTTTCTGACTTGCAAGTCAGTGCACTTTCCTCCTGCTACTTTGTGAAAGATGAATACCTAGTACTCTTACTTTCCATTTCAAATGGGGAATGTAGACTGCGTCACCACTAGGCACTCAGAACTCACTGACTTTGTAAGGATTTCACAGTGTGGCAGAAATGGAATTGGGACTAGATCCCAGCTCCCCCAAGTTCTCATTCTTGATTCTTTAGGCCACATTGACTTTCACCAGAAAGTCTACCTTTAGGTAAAACTGCTTTTCCTAAATGTCTTCCAAATCATCTGCCCCATGTGAGAGATTTTCCTTTCAGCCAGACCTCTTTCACAGCTGCTGTTATTTACTATCTAAATGCTCCTTTCCCCCAAATGGGACTCTAGCTTAGATGTAATTCTGCTTTATATTTTGTTTACTTTTTTTTCCTGGTGTGTTTTCACTCCCTTCTCCTCACCCCAAACACATGTTATCCATTAACAGGTCTCCTTATCTTGCATACACACTCATGTTTACTGCACCAATTTTCCATGGTAAGCCACAAGATACCACCTTATTAATTGGAGCACAAATCATGCTGGGTTACAGCTCTTCAAGATCACAGACAGGAATACACAGAGCCATGAGGTAAGGGTCTTTCTCTGCTTCTCCCTCTTAAGCCGTTGATTGCATTCAAAATTTCTAGTCAATATTCTTTGCTGAGCTTGTATCAACATATGAGCTCATTTTTAGGCAGCCTAAATTTCTGATGGAGGCAATTCCTCTGCATTAGCACTCCTGGAGATTCCATAATCAATATTTTATAATGGCTTCTTCCTGTGGGCAATAGAACATACTTGTCCCTTTGCTTTGTGCCATATTTACAGGTGTAGCAAATTAATTTCCTTACCTCCATCAGTGACCCAGCAGTTCTTTTTTTTTTTTTTTTTGGCAATTGGGGTTAAATGACTTGCCCAGGGTCACATAGCTGGTAAGCATGTCAAGTGTTTGGTCTGAGGCCTGACTTCAGGGCCGGTGCTCTATACATTGTGCCACCTAGCTGCCCCAGACCGTGTACTTTTCTTAAGTGCGTTTCATGTTCTATAAGTGACCCAATACATTGAGCTGTGGCCAGATGGGAGGAGATTCATTTTGGCTTCAGGTGATAAAACTCTAAGGGTCAATAGGGTCAGGTGAAGTTTTGTTTTATGTACAATATAGTAGCAACCTGTTTATGCTTGGATGCCAAAGGGAAAGAGCTAGAGAGAAGAAGGAAGGGGGAAAATGGAAGATGCAGTCTCTACTACATTTACTCTATTACTTTTTTTTTTTTTTTTTTTTGCTTTTTGGTGAGGCAATTAGGGTTAAGTGACTTGCCCAGCTATTAAGTGTCAAGTGTCTGAGGCTGGATTTGACCTCAGGTCCTCCTGACTGCAAGACCAAAGCTCTATCCACTGCGAGACCTCGCTGCCCCCCTGTATTCCTTTTTGTCTCTAAGTATCTGTCTCTGGTGATTATTTCTCTTTGTTTTTCTTTCCCTCTGGATCTCTGTTTTTGTCTCTATTGAAGTATCTTTTCCCCCCTATCATTCAGTCTTGTATTTACTCCTTCAACTTTCTCTCCTTATCTTTCACTGTCTATATCTCTATACCTGATTTTCTTTTCCACTCTGTTTCTCTCTCTTTGACCCTATTTGCCTCTGTGTTATTCTTTCTTCTTCCCTTCCTTCCTTCCTTCCCTCTTTTCCTTCCTTCCTTCCTTCCTTCCTTCCTTCCTTCCTTCCTTCCTTCCTTCCTTCCTTCCTTCCTCTCAATGTATATCTGTCTGTTAATCTTTGTGTCTCTCTGCATCTTTCTCCCTTTTAGAATCTGGATCATTTTCTTTTGTCTTTAGTTATATAGGACCTCCTACTCATAAATCAGCAAGTACATATTGTACACTAGTGGGGACTCATTCAGTGATGATGACAAACAGACTTAGATTTCTTTCTTTCTTTTCTTTTCTTTTTTTTTTGGCAATTGGGGTTAAGTGACTTGCCCAGGGTCACACAGCTAGTAAGTGTTTGGTCTGAGGCCAGATTGGTTCTCCTGACTTCAGGGCCGGTGCTCTATCCACTGCGCCACCTGCCTGCCTGCCCGCAGAGTCAGATTTCTTGACAGGGAAGTAACAAACCCACAAATCAGTTTTTTTCTTATTAATGTATATAAATTAATTTTAAAAACAACAATAAAAGAGGGGTTATGTGTCTGTGGTGATATGATTTTCAACCTTCAGGAACTGGCATCAGATAGATGAGAAAGGAAGCAAGGTGAATTTGTTAGAGCAGGAGTTTCTTCCTGCCATTCAGACCAACACTGGGCCTTCACGAAGAGGGGTGAGGGCAAGGGAGTCTTTTCTCCCTCTCAGTCTCTTTCTTCCTCTGCTCCTCTGACAGAGGCTGATAAATGTGGCATTCATACATAGTTTTATATTAAGACAAAGAACATGAACCATCTGCTCTTGGGCACAGAGTGAAAGCAAGACCCCTGACTGCCCAGGCAAGTAGGCATGACTGAAAAACCCTGCTTACCACACTGCTGTTACTCAGAGATATCAGCTCTAGACCAGTTTACCAACGTGAGGTCCTGCCAGTGGAGACTGGGCTGGAGGTGGTGGGCCTTCCTGTGGACCTTATATATAGCAGTCTTCTTACTCCTCTTCTCCCTTTCTTTCTTTATCAGGGAACCTAAATATCATCCTTCCAGGTGAGAGTCTATCCTTTCCCAAATTTCTTCTTCTTTCTGAAAAGATAAACAAAGCAATGTGGCTTCCAAAAATAGGGAGTGGCAAACACCTGGAGATCTCCTGTGGTTTAAGTGGGCATCTGAGCAGTCAGGGATACTGCTTCAGATTTTCAGATTTCTTAATAAGCAGTAAGGAAAAGGCCTAAGAAACTAGGGACAAAAAGAGGGACAATAGCCCTTCCCCTCAAGTTGCTTATGTTCTACTGGGTAGGGAGAGCCTAGGAAGATTTTAGGAAATAGAGGGCACAGATAGAATTTTTCTTCTGAGTGTGTGTGTGTGTGTGTGTGTGTGTGTGTGTGTGTGTGTGCGCGCGTGTGACAGTAATTCCAAGGTGAGTCTGCCTGTGCAATTCCTGGAAGGTGTGCACTCTGGCCTCCTCTTCATGCTTCTCTTGAGTCTTGTATTTGAAAGTCAAATTTTCTGTTAAGTGGTCTTTTCATCAAGAATG